GTGGGCAAGAGGCCACAGACAGCTAGGCCCACTGTCTCAGAAGGCTTGGGCCTTCCCACCTCCCCATCAGTCTTGGAAAATTTGGGCCTTCTCCACACCCCATACTCTCACAGAAGGTTTGGGCCTTCTTCCTGATTACCTGCACAAGTCTGCTTATCTTCCCTTTCCATGGAGCTGCTGGCAAGCATGCCCAGCCAATGCAAGGTGCAGCTATTGTAGAAAGCTAGCTAATGTTTCCAAAGACTAGAAAGAGACTCAGAAACATCGCAAGATAAGCACCAGCCTTCAGCCAGAACAAGCCTTCCAGGAGTGGTGGGGAGTGTTGAAGATCCACACACTAGTGGGCGCTTAATGACTGCAGTGACTTACGGACCTTGTGGGCTCAGTTGTGGTAGTAAGCTGAGGATTACCTGTTTCCAGACCAATTGTAGTTAGGGAGTTTTCCTCCAAAGGAGGAAAAAAATTGCTTTAGACTTTTTCTTGTTGATGAATGGTAAGGGAATCATTAATTTCAAAGGAGAGTTATGCAGACCCAATTCCATTTAGTTATTTAATCTACATATAGCTGTTCCTAACAGATGGATCAGACACAATAAGACTATTTAAAAGACAGTGTGCCCTCAAAATCAATTGCATCCACTACCATGCATTTACAGCCATCGCTTCCTTATTACAAGTAGTCCTTGACTTATGACCACAATTGAGCCTAGAATTTCTGTTGCTAAGTGAAACATTTGTTAAGAGTTTTGCCCCATTTTACAACTTTTCTTGCCACAATTGTTAAGTGAACCTCTGCAGTAACACGGTTGTTAAGTGAATTTGGCTTCCCCATTGACTTTGCTTGTCAGAAGGTCACAAAAGGTGATCACAAGACCCCAGGACACGGCAACCGTCATAAATATGAGTCAGTTAAATTTTGATCTTGCGATGACGGGGATGCTGCAGTGGTCATAAGTATGAAAAACGGTTGTAAGTCACTTTTTTCAGTGTTGTTTTAACTTTGAACATTTACTTGTTGTAAATCGAGGATTATCTGTACTTTTCAAAGTTACTAAAAGAACTGAAAATATTGTTGCATAAAAAAATGAAACATCTGTACCAACGATGTACCTGATTATGCAATTGTCAGGTCCAAGTGTCACTATAACAGCTTCTGTAGCTTGAAGAGAAATTAATTTAGCAAGCGCTTCTGATGTTTTACTCTGAAATAGAGAAAGATGTGCATAGGTAGCCTTCACAACGTACTTGTGCTGCTTCCAGTTTAATTTCACGTGTTGTATTCTAAATATTGATATACACGCCACTGTTACTAATGTAAGAGCCTAACCCTAACCCTGCTATTACTAGATGCCTGTATTAGAATTTAATTGGTTTATTCTTTTTTCCCTAACTGCCCATCTCTCTCACCCTTTATAAACCACGGCTGCTTTTCTTCCATAGTATAATGGAGCACATAGACTTATTTCTATGCAGTCCCAAAGCACATTAAATCATTTCACCAAGTTTGTCCTTTTGTGTGCAATCAAAATATGCCTTGGGGAAAAAAATAAGAAAAGAGAACAGTTGAATCCTTTCACCACTATGCTAATGCACGTGATAAATACACTGAAATTATATATATTTTTTTACTATTATTCCAGAGACCCTCATATGGAATTCACACGATCATCTGGCCTTTAGCTCTCAAGAAATACCAACCTTTGCTATGTGTTCTAGCCATCTCCCAAGAGCTATGAATACAAACAGCATTGGTGGGGTGTCAAAAAATGTGACGGGGCTCTGTTCAGCCTTTTCAACAACTGCAACTATCAAAATGGTACATGAATAGACGTAAGCAGTTGATGTAGCCATTACTATCAGGACATCCATATTGGCCATTTTATGCTTTAATGACTTGTAGGCTTGGACATAGAAGTACCATCCACCCAGGAACTGGAAGGAAGGAAGAGACAGAGAGAGAGAGAGGAAAGAGAGAGACAGAGAGAGAAGAAGAAGAGCAGTTAGCTTTCCATCATGTTCTGTCTAGATGTCTCAATAGAACTTTTTAAAGATTTATATAACGGGAGGTGTTAAAAACAGAGAACTTAAAGAACCTCCATACCTGAACCAAAGTGCAAAGTACAAAGAAAAGAAGGTTAAGAACAGACAGCCCAGGAATCAAGTTTTGCTCCAACACCATTGATTCATGATGGTCATCCATGGGCAATAACATATAAACCATTAAGACCAAAACTGGAATACCAAACACCAGGCTGCATAAAAATGATTTCTTCCATCTGCAAAGGCAGAAAAACACTATTAGAAGGTGAAGTTTCCCTGGCAACTTGATTGACGAAAGCATATTATACCACCTTTACTCACTGCTATGGATATCAGTGTCATCATGTTTGATACAAATCAGCCCTGAACATGTATATTTTATTATGGCACATGTGTGTGTGTAGAGCTACAATATTTTGATCTGCAGCAATCTGGGAGATCATTAGATGGAAGGAAAAAGTCATCTGGGTTTTTGCAACTTAGCTATGATAGCCCTTACAATGCACAGAAGTGGGAAACAAAGTAAATCAAGACTCTGTAGTAAAAGGCATGGTGTATAGTTGGCCAATTAGATTAGAAACCATTTTTAGTTTACAAATTATTCATGAAAAATGAGCTGTCTTCATTTCTCTTTCCCTCCAGCAATTCCATCATTGAGTTGGCAACAAATAACCCCTCAATCTATAACATTTCAATGATTGCAGCGGACAGACAGCTAATGGGAGAGGAATATCCCTGGAGCATTTTTTTAATAAAATATTCTTTGGTTGACAGATATACTCACTGTTGGATCTCCTGTTTGTGATCCAAGTTATGATCTTTTGGATCTCTTTTAGCCAAAGATGCTTGAAAACCAATTCCCTTTATAACAAAAAGCAAAAGAAAGATGATCAAAGGCCTGGAGACTAAAACATATGAAGAATGGCTGCAGGAATTGGGTTTGGCTAGTCTAAAGAAAAGAAGAAATAGGGGAGACATGATAGCAGTGTTCTAATATCTGAGGGGCTGCCACAAGACAGAGGGGGCCAGATTGTTCATCAAAGCACCAGAAGGCAAGACAAGAAACAATGGTTGGAAACTGACCAAAGAGAGAAGCAACCTGGAATTAAGGAGAAACTTCCTGACAGGACAATCAACCAGTGGAACAGATTGCCTCCAGAAATCATGGGCACTCCATCACTGGAGATGTTTAAGAAGAGATTAGACAATCACCTGTCTGAGATGGTATAGGTTCTCCTGCTTGAGCAGGAGGCTGGACTAGAAGACCTCCAAGGTCCCTTCCAGCTCTATTCTATTCTATTCTATTCTATTCTATTCTATTCTATTCTATTCTATTCTACCCTTACAAATATAAATACAAAGGATTATTAGATGATTATGTTACACAATTGTTTCTCTATTGATTACCAGAGCTACTTTTGTAATGTGAGGTAAAAAAAATAGGTAAACACATTTTTTACTCATGGTGAACACCACTCAATGTCCAAATGCTGCAGGCTTGCCAATTAGGAATTTGGAAAATGTAGCCCAATAAGATAATCCTTAATTTATGACAATTGAATCCTGAATTTAAGCTATAAGTCAGTGAAAAACCCATGTGACTGCCTTGCCCAATGTCTGCAGTCCCGGCTCTCCCTATATTGCATCGTTAAGCAACCGTGCAGGTTGTTAAGCAGACAGAGTGAAAGAACTGTCTATGGGGGGGCGGGCAGCTCCCCTCCACGTGCTGAAGGGAACTACAGTGCAGGGCTAGAGCAAAGAAGTCCAGATCTTTGTGATCTGAACTTCTTTTCTCCAGCCCAGAAACTTGTTTTCTCCAGCCCAGCTCCTTTTTCTCTCTGCTGGAGAAACTCTGCCCGGAGCAGAATGAAATTAATCCATCAGCCAATACTTTTGCTCTCAAAGAGGCTGGGTGAAGAAGTCCATTTGTGAAGGAACTTTTTCACCCAGTCTCCCTGAGAGCAAAAATGCTGCTCGCAAAAGAGATTCTGCCCTGCTCAGGGAAAATCAATCCATCAGGCAGTGTTTTTTGCTCTCAGAGGCTGAGTGAAAGAGTCCCTTCAACAGTGGCTATCTGAAAAAGCTGACAGGGAAGATTCCACGTGGTGTTTACACGATCATGGGGCGTTTGGCAACCCACTATAAGTGCAAACAAGTTGCCAAGTGCCAAGATTACAATCACGTGACTGCAACAGCTCTAACTTTAGGCTACGGGTTGTAAGTCCCTTCATTCAGTGCCATCATAATATTTAACAGTTGCTAATGAGTGATTGTTAGGTGATGATTACCTGTGTATCTGGCAGATGCCGGGTTAGGGAAGGCTACCTTAATGGGGCTGTTAGCCTGGGACTTTTAACAATAAAGATAAGGGGGGGGGGAGGGTTTTGATGCCAAGACCTGACTGAGAAGAAGCAACAGAAGAAGAGGAGAGACTGGTTGTAGCTACTGTTGCTGCGAAGCCTGGAGGCTACCTGGACTGTGACTACTGTTGCTGTACAAGTTTTAGACTTTGTGGGGGAGTTGCTCTGGGGGGGTCAAGCCATTACCACAGCACGCTGACTGCTTTTTGTTTCTACTACTGCCTGGAGCCGGGGTTTTCCTCCACCCCACTTGATCTTGAACGGTCGTTGAGGAATCATTAACTATTGCTGCCACAACAGCCTTGGCCGGTTGGATACCATCACAGCATTGACTATTGGGGCTGGGGGGCTGGTCATCTTTGTTCCTGGAAGCCCCTTCTTGACGACAAGAGCCTGCTACTTCCTAACTCTGCCCGAGCTCCGGTTAAAAGAGACACCTTACCAACCCCTAGAGAATACAGCGGCAGAGCTTGACGAAGGGGGGCAGGGCTGGGAGGGCCTGGGCTTTGGTGGCCTCTGAGGAGGTAACGCTATACAAGTTTCTAAAAAAAATACAAAACAGCACAATGTTGCCAATGGTCTTCTAATATCAATCATTCATCTAGGCCAGGGCTGGGGAACGATGGCCCCTTTATGGCTGGCTCAGGAATTCTGGGAGTTGAAGTCCACAAGTCATAAAAGGGCCATCATTCCCCATCCTTGATCTAGGCAATTCAGTTGAGATTTATCACCTTCTCAGGTCCCTGGAGACCAGTAGGTGATGAGTAGCTGTATATCTGGCAGATGCCAGGTTAGGGAACACTAGCTTATTGATTTGCAACTTACTAAAAAGTGCAGCACAGCACAAAATTTCCCAGTGGTCTTCTAATATCAATCATTCATCTAGGCCAGGGGTCTGCAACCTTGACAACTTTTTAAGACTTGTGGACTTCAGCTCCCAGAATTCCACAAGTCTTAAAGTTGTCAAGGTTGCAGACCCCTGATTTCTAGGCAATCCAGCTGAGATTTACCACCTTTCTCAGGCCTCTGGAGGCCAGTCGTAGCTGCTGCAGCAGTCTCCCCTAAAAAAGGGCAGATTTCAACTTCCAGAATTCTCAACAATAGCTACACTGAATTGGTATGCTGAGCATAAAAATTTGGGATGTGCCTGAATTAGGGGAAGATTAAATATAATGTTAACATTAATTACCATCATGGCTCTCAGAAATGTTTGCTTCAATAGCTTACCTGAACAATTTTTATAATGTCTCGAGGACCAATCACTTCAGGATCATAACGAACACGGGCTTTTGAAGTGGCTAGGACTACGGATGCATAGAGAATGCCAGGTGTTTCAGTGAGCTTGGATTCAATGCTATGAACACATGAACTACAAGTCATCCCTAGAATCTAAGCAAAGTTTCAGTTAGTTGTCAGCACAAGAATTTGCTTTGGGCTGTCAGATTGACCATTGCTCCATTGTACCTACATCTCCCATGCTAAACAAAAAAGTACACTAAGTTTCATCAGGGTGGTATTTTACACCACCTCCTGCAGTTCCAGATCAAGAAGGCATCTAGAGAGGACAGGAAATGAAAGGGAAATACAGCCAATGAGAATCCCAAAGATAAACCGGCTTTCCCTATTCTAGTGTTTTCCAGACATGCTGAACCTCATCCCATGCTAGCTGGGAGATGGACTGGCAATGGGGATTCTCAACTGTTATATTTGCCCTTCGTAAGCAACTTTACAACAAATCTTACATTGCAAAGTACATGCATTCCCTTGGTCAATCTTTTTTTCTTGGGAACATCTCAGGTGCTCGCATTTCTCAGCAATAGATGGAAAAATGTAGAATTGTATGTATGTGTGCAATTCAATGGCATTATATGTTTTAGAACTTGACAGTCAAACAAAATTAAAAATACAAACACAGATGTAAAGAAAACTATAGGTGTATAAAAACTTTAATTGCAAAGCCAATAGTATAACTTGCATTTAAATGTATTTAAATTTATTCCTTGTTGAATATTCTTATCTGTATTTTTCTGTTTAGAATCAATATGAAGCTTCTAAGAGTTTGTATTATGATGCTCACCTTAAGATCTATGCTGCCGTCTGTCCCAGCATAATCTTGTAAGACTGAAGCTTTAAAACCCAATTTCTCAATCAACTGGATTATTTCAAGAGGCTGAATTTTATCTGGCTTATATATTACCTCCACTTTCCCTGCCATCAAGGCAACAAGCACAGAGACTATTCCTGTAAAAACAAAGCTGCATCAGACATATCCATTCTTTCCTGAGTCACACCTAACAGCCTGAACACAGTTGTGGCACTCAGTCCAGTCTTAAAGTAATAATAATAGTAATAGTAATAGTAATAATAGTAGTAGTAGTAGTAGTAGTAGTAGTAATAATAATAATAATAATAATAATAATAATAATAATAATAATAATAATAATAAAAAAAAAAAAAAGTTGGAAGGGACCTTGGAGGTCATCTAGTCCAACCCCCTGCTCAGGCAGGAAACCCTATACCATTTCAGACAAATGGCTGTCCAGTCTCTTCTTAAAAACTAATCTTTATTATTTAATAAAGTAATCTTTATTACTTAATTCAGCTACCATTTTAAGTAGCCTGATAAGAAAGTAGATCTTTCTCAAATGGTTTGCAAGCTAAATCTAAATAATCATCAATGGCTGAAAGCCACTGTTTCAAAGGAGAACCCAAATAACATAAAGAAAAATTTGTCATGCTATTTTACCATCTTCTTTTTGTAAATTCTTCTCAATGCTTGAAACACATGATGTACAAGTCATGCCTGTTACAAGCAGGAAACATTTTTCAGTGTCTCTTTTACTGGAGAATTCTGGAAAGTTAGTGCACAACTTCTTTTTTGGCAAAAATACATCTTCAGATGACAGTTCTGGGACTTTGTTTTTCAAGGAAACAGAGGTTATCTCACTCAGCTCTATACCTCCATCAGTAGGTTTTCCAATTACTGCATCTAAAATAAGAACAACATTGCATGAATATGTGGAGCAGAAGAAACATTACATAGTTAATCATTATCCCAAAAGGATTTTAGGATTCTTTTCGTAGCATTGCCTTCCTTCCTGGCAGTACTATATTTCTGAAGTTAAATGAAGAATTTTAAACAAATATGTGTTGGAATGCCAATCCCAGATGGATTTTAATTTTCAAAAGATGCAAGATATGGAAACACGACCGAGAGATTTGAACTATTTAAAATGGACGAGCATTCATTTTGTGTTGAAGACCACATTCAGTCAATGACAATTGATTGAGGGTTTTAGGGCGGACAGAGCAAGCCAGCTGAGGAGAAGAACATCCATTGCTTCCGAAACCCTCCCTTTTCCTTTTCTTGAAAGCTTCTTCCTTCCTTTTCCAAAACATAAGATTCTTATGAGACATGTGATCTCTGGCAAAACAAATTATGCCAGTTAGGCCTCGTTAGTATTTTGATGGAAGACTACCGAAGAATATTAGGATTGTACGGTAAACTGGAAATTTGGTTATTAAAAAGGCAATGGCAAATCTCTTCCATGTGAGGGAAAAGGAAAACTCAGGGTTAGAGTTAGAGTCCATGAAGTCGCCAGGAGTAAAGCTTAATCTAAATATGTTTTTCCCCAAACATTTTGTTATGTTAAAAGACAACAAGTTACAAGGATCTTATGCTGCACATGATGGATATTCCACCAGCAGCCCAGAATATTATAATTCTGAAATAACTCTACTGAGTTTATGGATATGGCAAAGGAAGTCTGTGCTGGACATAGTTTTTTGCGTCCTACACAGGGCATAGCTTTCTACAAAGTTTGATGGGCTTAAAAACAGCAAGCATAAAAATTAGCTTCTAACTATTTCTGAAGGAATGGAGAATTAGTTTCTATTTATTTACAGATTATCCAAACATCCTTTTTGTCTTTCAAGGACAGATCTAACCCTACAGCTAAAAGAGAGACAAATTTAACTAATCATCTTCATGGATGGAACTCATGTGTTTCATATTAATGGAAATCTATAACCACAGTTTCTAAACAAAAATATGGAGCTCAAGACAGCAATATTTTTCTTCACTAAGTATCTAATACTTAAATACCATGGCCCGCCCAGTATTTAAGTATTAAAACTCTGTATTTTAGCAGTGTACAGAATCTACCCAATTCAAAAAGTCATGTACACATTTAGGACCTAACAGCTCCAATCCTAGGCTAGGGCTTATAAATTTCTAAAATTTTAAATAACTTTCTAAATTTTAACGCAATCAGAAGCAGCTCAAAATGCCTAGATATTTAAAATTCACCAGTTGACACAAGAGTTTTAATGCATCTCGATTCAATAGCAGAAAAAACTGTATCATACAATACCTGTTAGAACAAAAGCATCAAATCCCATGTCTTCTACAGCAGCTCGTATCTCTTCAGAGTTAGTCATAAGGGAATTGTAAGATACAACTGCAGTACCTTCAATTAAAGATACAGAGATGTCCGTCACCCCTTTCTTTTGGGATATGGAGCCTTTAATAGAGTTTACACAAGAATTGCAGGTCATTCCATCAATTCTAAGGAGAGCTGTACTACATCCATTTGCCTCCTGTTCTTGGGAAAGGTGACTGAAAGAAGGTATAGAAGAGGCAGCATTTGAGATAATTAATCCATTTTGGCCTTCCATTTCACAAGAAAAAACTAGGTTAAAGTTACCAGGGGTAATGGCTTGGATGGATTGCTGCAATGAAGATGGAGTGATGAGTTTTTGGTCGAACCACACAGTAATCTTTTTTTCTTCCGGAGATATCCTGGTACCCTGTACTCCAATCATCTCTGAAATCAAACCTTCCATATCGTTTACACAAGATTTGTCATGCATCCCTTCATGACAAAGGATTTCTACTACTGCAACACATGTACTGGATCCCATGTTGTCCCCAGTATTTCTGTCACCATTATGTTCACTGGACATTTTTACATTTATCTGCTGTAAGCGTTCAACATTAATGAAACCTAGTTCCAAAGGGGCTTGCTTATGCTTTATGGTGGATTCATACCCCAGGCTGTCTATGCTATTCTTTAGTTCTTCAGGTTTAATAATAAGGGGATGGTAAACAATGATAGCTTCTTGGTTGTTGAGGGTCACTTTGATTTTCTTCACCCCATGTAATTTCCCAATATTTTCTTCAATAGCATGGACACAAGACTGACAGGTCATGCCTTCTATTTTCACCTTAATAACAGCTTCACTGGACCATTGGCCTGAAGATTGGGCTGCCTCTGCAACATTGGCATCAAATCCCAGTTTTTTAATTTCCTGGCAGATTTGCTGATAGCCTATTTCCAGTTCCAAATATTTTACTGTTACTTGGCTTTGCTCAAAACATCCTTTGACAGTCACAATTCCTGATAGCTTGGAAATTTTGTCCTCTATGGATTGGATGCATTCTTGGCAAGTGATACCCGAAAGATCAATGGTAGTTGTGTTTATTTGAGAAGGAAGAGAAGGTGAATGATCCGAATCGTCCTCAAAGCTAAGGTTGGTAAAAGCCAGCTTCTGCTTCATTGCCAAGGCTGATAAGTGGCTAGGCCTAGGGGAAAAGTGCTGAGGCACAGCCTGAAATGAAAGAAAATTTAAACCAAACATTAATTCTGCTGTTTTAATATATGGGGTGAAGTAAAAGCAATCTTTTTGTGTAAGCTTGCTACTTATTCATTAGGAATACTATCTTTAGGCATTTCTAAAGCCAACAGTTGTGAATGTGCCATTCGCAGTCTTTAAAAACAATATATTTCTATGCTCACATAGAATTGCTTAATTGAGAGAACACGTATTTTCTTCCAAATGTCAAGCAAGAGGAGTGCCCCTTAACAAGAGCAGCGGACACTGAAATCAAAATACAATTTTCTAATCATTTTGTTTACACATGTCCCAATAATACCGTACTTGGTAGGGGGGGAGGATTTTTAGAATTACATTTAGCAGGCAGTAACAAGATTCTTCAATCTCTATTTTATATATTTAAATTAGAGAAAAAATTGAAATTGTGTCCAGCTCCAAAATAAAATTATTTTATGACTTATGATCATTTTTCACCCTTAAGACCATTGCAGTATCTCCAGGGTCACGTGAGCAAAATTCAGACACTTGGCAACTGACTCATATTTATGACGATGGCAGTGTCCCCGGGTCATGTGATCACCTTTTGCGACCTTCTTACAAGCAAAGTCAGTGGAGAAGCCAGATTCACTTAACAATCATGTTACTGATTTAAACACTGCAGTGTTTCACTTAACAACTATGTCAAGAAAGGTCGAAAAATGGGGCAAAACTCACTTAACAAATGCCTCACTAAGCAATGGTCATAAGTCAAGGACTACCTGTATTCTGCCCTAGACCTCTTGGAATCCGTCACAACAACAAAAGTTTTCTCCTCATGACAGACTAACAATACCAACAAACAAAACACCAATTTATTTTGTAAACTGATTTTTTTTAATTATCAAGATCTTTCAAATTAATTTCTTTAAAACAAGTGACAGGAAAGATCTAAACCTAAGTGTAAAGTGATAAAACTAGGTACAGGTGAGTATTATGTATGATCCAGGCTTTTAAGAAAACTCTTAACATTAACCTACATATCTACAGCTGCTTACACTGCTGCAGTTTATTGAACTGAGAATTTATTGCTAGTATCAATTTCCAATAATCAGCTTATCTGTAATTACAATTTGTCTCCCTTTCCAAGCAATTGCTATTATGAAAACCTTACATCCAGTCCATAATTTGATACCCTGTAATAGTCAAATTGCTGGCTGATGCAGCTGCGGAAATGTTTTCTCCAGCAACAAAAAGGGGAACTTTTTTTTTTTATTCTGGAGAGAAAAAGAGATGCTACTGGGACATATTATAATGTTACAACCATAAGATTCCAAAATCCTGCATAAACTGCTGCTAAACTGAATGTTTCAAGAGAGACCGCTGTGTTCTCTCTGTATGAACACAGCTTACATTCATACCACAATTCGTAACTCCACTAAGTTCCATGAGGCTTCCTTCAAGGATATAGATATTGTACTTCAGCTTGAATTTCCCACAAAAAAAACCCCTCCAAACACACAGCTCAAACTACAACTAAGGTCCAGGCAGGTTAATTTGAATCCCTCCAGCCCCTGTACACTCACCTGTCTGTCACTGCTGTCCAGTGTTCCTGGCAAGTCCCTGGAGAAAATGTCTTTCTCTTTTGGAAACGCATCATTAGTTTTCACAAGAGCTCCTTGCCTGCAACATTCATTATCTTGCAACATACACATGTTTTTAGAAGACTGCCTTTTACAAAAATTAACCAGAGTAACGTTTTTGTGGTTTAGAATTGCAACTGAGGACTGGCTCGTTCTCAGAGACATTCTTCTTTTCTCCTTTGCTTTTCTACCTTCTTATGGTACTGACCGTCAAATGAAAAAGTGCTGGTTGCTTCATTTGGTATTGCAAAAATTCCTCCTCCCCTGGCCTCTCTACTCTCTGGATGGTCAGATTGGTTAGATCATTACATGAACCTCTAGCCTTCTCCCATATCCATAGATTATGTCTCCGCTGTGCATGGTTACAAATAGGATTAATTTTTTTCTCACCCTTTGTCTGCCTCATACTTATTGAAAAATGGCATTTAATACGTTTAATCTTTGTACATAGCTCTCCAGTGTCCTCAGCCAAGGCTGCCTTTCACAAGCTTGTCAAATATGGCTTGGGTGAGGCAATCCTATGTATAATTAACTCTACCGCCCAAACTTTCTTTCATCTTCAATCAAAAGCATGTTCAAAACAGTGGGAATCCAGATTTAAAGAGATCAGTTTTTAAATATGAAAAGGGTACGATATGATATGTATTGAAGTTTTGCTATATGACAGACAGAAAATGCAAGCTGTGTGATGAAAAGTGATCAGTCCTACTAACAAATGCAGAAGGAGCAAAAATATCAAGCAAAGGTACTTTATGGATTATATTTATCTAATAAAAAGGGTCTGAGTAAATGTTGTCTAGTTTTTCTTTCTTGCTGCAAGTTACTCCTATCTCACTGACGTGACTTCTGAAGTCTCAGATCATGAATCTGTGGCAGTTTATTCTCCATATAGAATTCCGTTTCACATTGTGTTTACTAAATGAATCAAATCAAGCTTGCTACTATTTCAAAATTCAATTGATGTTTGCTTTCAGCAAATTCTTCTGAATTTGCATATGCTAATTAGAACACTACTGCCAGGCATCAAGCTCCCTAAAATTTTTATCAAAACAAGCTTCCTTTGCCCATGCCACAACTTCAGCACGGTTTCATTATACTTTCTTAGGAGAAAGATAACTTTTGCAAGCTAACTTTTCAGAAGATTTTTAACAATTTTCAAACGCATTGCTAAAGTATTTCCCCCAATTTTCCAGTCAGTAAGCAGCTCCCTGGAGCAGTTTTGATTTCTTTTGAAATAAAACTATGGCAGATTTATTGGCATGTTGCACAATAATGTTTGCGGCTATTTGCATATTCATAAGGTAAATATTGATGCAGGCACACACAATAGAAGCAGGGAACCTGTGGACCTGCCGATGTTACTGAACTACGTTTCCCAGCATGCTTCATCATCTGCCATACTGGTTGGGGACGCTGAACTCATACTTCATTAAACATCAACAAGGCCGTGCATTCTCTGCTCATCTCAAATGCTGCACAGTTCAATCTAAATTCGTCAGATATCTCTATCCTCTCCCCTAGCATACTTATTTAAAGTTTTGTGATAATATTCTTCCCTAGTGTTCCTAAATCTGCATTTTCTCCTCAGATCAGAGCATCCTCGGGTAGAATAAAGAAGACCTTCCCTTGCTTTTGATGTCTCCCTTTTGATTCATATTTCAATTTAAAGGAAGAATTTTTCCACATAATCACAGAAAAAGGTTCTTACAAACTGTAGCATGAATACAGCTAGCCTGATCTTGAAGGAACAAATACGCCTCCTTTTCATAATCTTTTGGATCCTCTCACAACAAAAGCTTCTTAAAAGGCACTAAACAAAAGGAATGTAATTTGAACTTCAGACCAGAATAAAACGAAAGAATGGGAAAAGATGTTTAATAAGAGAATATAGATCAGATGTGTTTATGCATTAAAACAGCTCTCTAAAAACAGGATGCCTCTTCTATAATCATTAAGGTGAGACACCTGTTTAGGCAGTATAATTCTGGCTCTGTCATTAGGCTTATCATAGCCAAGCAGCAAAAATCCCCCCTATATTTTTGCAAATAACTCAACAAGGCAAACATACCTAATACTCTTTCCTCTTCCTATTTTCCCTACGAGTGAAGTGGATTGAGCTGAGAGAGAGTGATTGGCCCAAATCAATCATTTGGCTTTCATGCCTAAAATGGGACTAGAACTCATGGTCTCTTGATTTCTAGCCTAGTGCCTTAGATCAAACTGGCTGCTAATCCTATTTCAATAGGAGAAGGAATCATCTTATTTTAGATTAAAGTATTACTTGTTTGTTGGCTTAGATTCAGAGAAATGATGATTCCTATTGCCTAGGTGGTAAGAAAATAATTTCAACAGATGCATCCCTTAGAGTTGTCCATTCTTCTGGAAAGAGCCACTGCTTGTTAGAATACAGTAACTTGTGTTTACATATCACACTAAGCTATGCTTCATACATTAATTCATAAATCATGGATTTCACTATCGTTTTATCAGTTTTAAGATAAGATTGTGAAAGATGTAACCCTCCATATTTTGTGTCTTTTACTCATAATTCCCCACTGATATAAGCATTGAGAATGAAGATAGTAATCCAAAACACCCAGGAGATCTGTTTTCTTACCTCTGTTGGGCTTGATAATGTTGGATTATAACCTCTATCAGTCCTCACCATATGACCAAAAATCAAGAAAGAGAAATTACAATTTAGCAACATATAGAGAGCACAGGCCCTTAGATAACCATAATGAATATTGTTATGCACCATTTTACAAACTGAATTTCTAGCCCAAATGCATATTCAAAAGTTTACTGTCTTTGATTCCAAAATGTGCAGGAAAGGAACTAAAATATAACATAATTGTCTGGAGAATGAAGATACAAGGATAAAGCAATGGGCAAGAATTAAAATTATGCAAATCTAAGATTATGTCTGAAAATTTAGGATAATGCATATCAAAGAATGCTGAATCCAACAGGCCTACATAAAGAATTTTTATAAGCCTAAGGAGGAATGAAACGCAACATTAAAAGTTCTACAGTACATGTGCGTGAATCCAAATGGATTCTTGATCACTACCACAAATGTTGCTGTGCCTGTGATTTTGAAACAGGAGTCAATTATGAAAACATTAGTACAAGTATAACAGAATGAGTAAAGGTCATAAAAGTCTAGCATTATTGAAGAGCAATATTAGGTTCATATTTTATATTAATTATAAATATAGATATTTCTGCCTTAGTAGTTTTTGAGGGACATATCTATTTTAACTATAAACCATAGTACATGGATTAGTTGATAGTTTATTAAGCAACAGTACTTTATTAATTAATCATTATTAAACCACTGTTAACTTTGGTCTCATACAATTATATTCTTATTCTAATCTTCTAGAGGATAGGACAACTGTTCAAGAAACTTGTCTTCACTCCTATTTTTTTCTAGAATTACAATGAACCATGGATATTAAAACAAAAATGTCCCTTTCCATTTTTCAAAGGAAATAATGCAATGCACTTATAAAATATAAATGGAAATTACTGAAATTATAAAATACCTATTTCTGTGGCTTCCTATTACTCTTCCTTTAGGAGTACATCAAGAGCATATTTAGTCTTCAAATGATTTGCTACTTTGCAACAATCCTGCAATGTCCCCATTTTTTTAACCAAATATTGCAACTTGATTCTGTACATGTTTATTCTGGCTAAACCCAATGATATGTATTGCCAAAAACTTATACAGAATTACAACATCAACCAATTATAAATGACACAGCTTATTCACAGTGAAACACATACATTCAGTGTGTGATACCAGAAATCTGACCAGTCTTATCAATATTTCTACTTACTGTGTATGTCTCTAATTTAAAATGTCTTCTGTCAAAATATTTGAATACGTTCTGGAAGCCAAGCATTCCGTTGTCAGTACTGCATGTTACGTATGGTACTCTTTTCGTTTTCGTCAGTCCTTAATTTTCGGTGTACGACTAGTATACTTCCCCGAACACGAAATAATTAGATTAAACCTTAAATTGTTCAAATAACGTCCTTTAACGGACGTATGCAAAATAGGTCACTGGTATTTTTATAAATTTATAATCACCAACACAAAAAAGACAAGCACAGGTCAACGTGGAGACTGCCTAGAAAAGTCACTGCAGGGTTTTTGGCAAGGTTTGTTTTTTTTTAGAATCGGTTTGCCCTTGTCTCCTTTCTAGGGCTGAAAAAGAATAAGGTCACTCAGTGACTCATGCCTAAGGTGGGCTATAAGCTTCTAGCCTGATGATTTAACCACTATACCATACTGGCTCTCTCTATCTTAATACCAAATACTGATTTAATACTAATATTAAATAAAGTATTTGTCTCTCAATATCTGAAAGATTGAAAAAGGGATTTTTTAAATTATTATTTTCAGATGTCCCCTTTCCTGAAAACTTCATTTATTTTTCACGCTTATCTTTTTCCAAGTAACAAAAGGGAAGGCAGCTTGGTAACACAGATGCAGACTACAGGTGGTCGCCGACTTACAACGGTTCATTCAGTGACAGTTCGAAGTTACAACGGCACTGAAAAAAAGTGACTTATGATCATTTTTCACCCTTCTGACTGGTGTAGCATCCCCAGGGTCACATCATCAGAATTCAGGCGCTTGCTTAACAACTGGCTCGTGTTTTATGATGGTTGCAGTGTTCTGGGGTCATGCGATCACCTTGTATGAACTTCTGACAAGTCAATGGGGAAGCCAGATTCACTTAACAACCGTGTTACTAACTTAATAACTGCAGTGACTCACTTAACAAGTGTGGCAAGAAAGGTCATAAAATGGGGCAAAATTCACTTAACTGTCTCGCTTAGCAGCAGGAATTTTGTGGTCATCAGTCAAGGACTACCTGTGCTTGTAATTACAGGTTACAAGTAATTTATCAATTGCCAATTGCAATTTGTTAAAAACCCGTTGTATTTGATGAGACTTTCTGGGATTTCTTCAAAACCTGTGATGTACAGTATTTCTCACCCAACAAGTGTTGTTGAACTCCCACTTTTCCAAAACATTGATCTTGAGGTCTGTTATGGGGTGACCAGAGAGGCTGAAACACTCTGACGTTCCTTTGTCCTTGTTTCATGTTTTGATGTGACCATTAATTATTTTGAACAAAGATTGA